TTTTGAAATTGATATTGCAGTTGATCAGTGAGGGAAGCGAGGATGCGAATGAGAGGCAATATGCAACCAATATCCTACCACTACGAGAAAATGGCAACTTCTTGTTGTGCTCGATTGTTCTCGGGAACACTTTCACTAACTGCATCACTGTACTTCTCATCGATGATCTCACGAAAAATGTTGAACCCGAAATTGTTCAGGTACTCTTTAGCGTTTCATTCCAATCTAACTTTTCCATTCATTCAACGTCATGCTTTGAATGCAATCTTGATATCGCTTTTCGAATCAACGAGAAATTTTCGCATGCTATATTTCATTTCTAAAAATTCAGATGTTTGCGATAAGCTTCGGCTTGAATATAACCTTTGTGGAAGCGTTCAATTTCATTCAGGACAAAAAATACCCAATAATTTCTCAATAATTTCAGATGCTCGTAGCGTTGATTCTGCCGACGTTGATCATAACTTTGTTTGGAGAGATATTACCTCAGGTGGTTTGTTCCAAGTAAGAAATTACTTTGAAAGTCATATTTATACAGTGACTGAACAAATAAGATCGACTACATTGAAAATCAATGCACGATGATGCATTTCAATCGCTTTTGCAGACATTTTCGTAATGAGTCGATTAAGCAAATTCAACAGAGTTTTCAGTTACGGATTATTGATCGGCAGTCGGACACGCTACTTGACAATATTTTTCATGGTCTTATTCTGTCCAATCTCATATCCGATCTCGAAATTTCTCGATAAGGCAGTTGGCGTTGAGGGTCGCGATGTTTACGACCGTAAAACATTACGAGTTCTTATCTCCATGCAAAGAGATCTCATTAAAGATCATGGTATGTGTCCTGCATGTTCACTTACGATCAGATAGTAACAAGTGCTGGCTTGACACACTGATTTGTACAGAATCAATTTTCAAATGATGAATCAGTTTGCAGAGCACATAAAATCTTTCTCCTCATTTGTTTCCTTGACTACAACGAAAAGAGAATTCTACGAATTTTACAGCTAAAAAACGAATGGTTGAAAGCAAAATGATGGATGTGGATACCACTGATCTTGTATTGGCGGCAATCGATTTCCCCGAAAAAATTGTTATGAGCGTAATGACACCAATCGACAAGATTTTCATGTTATCCGATATGAGTGTTATCAACAACTCACTTCTTAAAACGATTGCTGCTAAAGGCCGAACACGGATACCCATTTACAAGGGCAAAGATCGTGAGACGGTGTTCTTTAAAAAAATGGTTTTTTCCCTTAAAAACTAATCACAGTTTGGTCAACAGTCAAGTATTGTCATCAGTTGGAATTATTTCAAAATGTTCATTGCTTCCATCTAATATTATACGGCATTTCTATTTAAAGATAATTAAGAGAAGCCTACAGTGGGGTTAAGCGAAGCCCACAATAAACACTTTTAGTGGTGTTAGAAACCAACTGAATGCTGCAACAAGAGAGTGCATTTGAACATTCTCGATGATTTGATGTGTTCATTGTGAAATGTTCACAGATAGTTGCTGTGCTGAATATGAAGGATCTTTTGCCGTTCTGTCAATCGACAAAACTCAAAGTTGGTACAGTTGCGCAATTATGGCAGAGGAGCAGTCAATTTCGATTCGCGTTAGGTGGTACGCGTGTGATGC